TATGTGTGTGTGTGTGTGTGTGTATGTGCATGCATACATGCATGTATGTGTATATGTATGTGCATACAAGCACGTATACATACACAAATACTTATTCATATTTATGGGCACATAGTTCTATGACATGTCCGATATACATATACATAAACTCGTGTACGCAGGTGTGTGATGCGCACGTACGGTGACACAACGACAGCATCCCATCTTCCACTGAAAGGCTTTCCAGTCTAGAGAGTGAGCGGATGGTTTCATAATCACTTGGTCGCCCTTCGTGTATACGTGAATTGCATGCATTATCTATTGAGACATATACACCTTACACTCTAGTATATGCCATACCTTTTGAAGTGGTCCGAAGAAACAAGCACATATACTGTCAGCTATACCTACCAGAATACCAGCTACATACACGTATATATACATTCAAATATATTACTACTACTTATGGTTTGATCAATACATACACACAAGCCTCGCCCATACCAGGTCCTCGGTTGGCCGCGGGGCTCTTCACCACAGGCTGTCCCGCTTTTGCTTTGGCACCCAATTGCGGTATCTCATGTACCGTTGCCGCACGCAAACCGGCACGCGCACACTCGCGGACATCATCCTGGGTGTCTCCAGCGCCAATCATACAGATATACCTGAGTTATTTATAGAAGGGAATGGATGATTGACAGTAGGCTCAGATATATTCTATAAATAGAAACCGGTGGACAATCATACAGATATACCTGAGTTACTTATAGAAGGGAATGGATGATTGACAGTAGGCTCAGATATATTCTATAAATAGAAATAGGTGGACAATCATACAGGTATACCTGAGTTATTTATAGAAGGGAATGGATGATTGATAGTAGGCTCAGATATATTCTATAAATAGAAATAGGTGGACAATCATACAGATATACCTGAGTTATTTATAGAAGGGAATGGATGATTGACTGTAGGATCAGATATATTCTATAAATAGAAATAGGTGGACAATCTTACAGATATACCTGAGTCATATATAGAATGGATTGGATAAATGTTGGTAGAAACAGCTATATTCTACAGATATATATATAGGTGGACAACCATAGGGATGTGCCCGAGATATTTATAGAATGGAATGGATAATTACTAGTAGACTCGGCTATATTCTACAAATAGACATATGTGGACATCATATAGATGTGCCTAGGTTATTGAAAGAAGCGAATGAATAATTGTTAGAAGACTCGGCTATATTCTACATATATATATATATATGTA